AATAAACTAAAAACCAACAAAAAAAAAAACAACATTAATGGGGTTCTCCCAACTCATTATCATAATCCTCTTCTCCTTTCCCTCTTGCTACCTTCACTGCTATATTTTCCAATACTAATGACGATCCTAGGAAAATCTCAAAGGACGGTGGGCTTGGAAATATAGTCCTCTAACCATGGGTTTATCTCCTAGCTCTTGAACCTGATGACCATGGCTGCATTTTAGGCAGTTTATTCCTGATACTAGCATTGATGCTGGGGTATCATATGGTCATATTATAAATACATACCCGATTTGAGTCCTATTAATTAGTACCTAAATTGATCTAAACACGCCCTAGTTTTATCCATTCTATCATGGAGGTCTGACACCTAACCTTTTAGTGTCCTAAGATCTCTACATCATTTTTGGCTGGGTTAGGTCAACTGGCCAAATCCGTCTCTTCATTATGCAAAAGAGATTTTGAAGGACTAGACCTTAGTTCAAGTTAGGGTAGAAGCTAGAAATATTTTCTCCACCCCTTAATTTCCTACTACCTGGCAGAGACTTGCAAGGACTTTTGAATGTTTTCTTATCTCGATCTTCTGGGGAAATTAAATTTTGGTGATATCTAGAGTAGCCATCTAAGAAATAGTAGAAAAAATGCCAAAATAATCTATCTAGCTTTTAATCTATAAAGGAAAATAAGAAATGATCCATCACAGTGGCTTAGTTAAATTTTTTATAATCAATTTATATCCTCCACCCAATCATAGTCCTTGTAGAAATAAGTTCATTTTTTCTTATTTGTAAAGATAATTAATCCTCCTTCTCAGGAAAATTATGAATTAGGCTAACCTAATCACTGTTAGAAATAGGATAAATGATACTTGTATCCAACCCTTTTAAAATCTTTATTAATTACTTCTTTTATAGTTGGATTTAACCTCCTTTATAGGTCAGGTTTATGTTGATAGACTTCCTTTAACAAAATCTTATGCATACAAATGGAAGGACTAAATGTTTGGAATAGAACATCCAAATGTTATATTATACATTCTAAGCACTCTATTGTACTTTACTTTTATTTCTTTTTAAAGCTCAACTAATATAATGATACATAAAGTTTATTTCTCTCCTAAAAAGGCATTTTTTAAGTGAGCAGACAATGCTTTTAGTTCAAGCTTAGTTGCCTTAACTATAGATGGATTCAAAGGGTTTATTTGGAATGATGTATCTAGTACTTTATATCTCTCCTTAAACATCCTCGGCATTCCAATGAAAATACAAATATAATCTCCCTCTACCTCACATAAATCATTCTCAAATAATGACATATCCAATTAATTATCACTTAGTGTCTCTTCAATAACATATTCCACATAAGAATCAATGGAATCCACTCTATAATAATCCTCACTTTGATCCTTAAGAAGATTCATAGATTTCAGGACATTGAAGGTTACTTCTTTATCCTAAATTCTCATAATTAGGACACTCTTATAAACATCCATGATGGCCCTACCTATAGCTAAAAAAAAGGCTTACTTAAGATGATAGGTATTTCCCTATCTTCCTCTATATCTAGAATAATAAAGTCTATAGGGAATATGAACTTATCAACCTTCATTAAAACAACTTTTATTACTTGAATAGGATATGTGAATGAATGATCAACTAATTGCATGGTAATAGTGGTAGGTTAGACTTCCCCTCGGTCTAATCTTTTAAAGATGGACAAGGGCATAAGATTGATGCTAGAACCTCAGCAACATAGAACTCTACCATAAAATGTATCTCCCATAACTATGGAAATGGTGAAACTACCATGATCCTTAAGCTTTTGCGAGATCTTCTTTTGAATGATGGTATTACATTCTTCAGTAAGGGCTAGTACTTCAAAGACTCCTAATTTTTTATTTTCACTTAAAATATCTTTCATAAATTTGGCATAGGTAGGCATCTACTCTAGAGATTCTATAATGGGTATATTAATTATAAGCTTTTTAAACACATCTAAGAATCTAAAAAACTACTTATCTAAATTTTATTTAAATAATCTTTGAGAAAAAGGTGCTAGTGGCCTCTCAATAATCTTCCTAACTAGTCTTTATGTTTCCATAATGGGTTGAGATGGTTCATTGGATTAGTAGGCTCTAATAGTGGTTTTATAAGAACATCATCTAAAGGGTTCTCATTATTCCTAAATACTTCCTATAATTCTTTTCCACTCCTTAATTGAATAGTCTCACAATGTTCTTTACCTTTTTTAATTTACTTTGAAGTTACTAGGAAAGGTATAATAACTATAATATTTTTTTTCTAAATTTTCATAAATCTGACTATGGGTGACCAGAGGAACTAGAATAAGTGGCACCCTGACATTGAGTTCTTGACTTTTTTTTTGGGAAATAATTATGGATAGTGATGTTGGGGTTTTGGGCACCGTAATACTAGATCTTAAACTTCTTAAAAAAAAACTCAATCCATTTATTAAAGCTCATCACTTGAGCCATCCCTCCCTCATTTTGTATTCCTTGGTTGGGAAAGAAGAGAAAAGAAAGTGAGAGAGAAGAAGAGTGAGATAGAAGAGAGAAAACTCACTTTTTTTTTTCTATCACTCCAATTGAAAAAAAATAATATTTTGATCATGGTAAGTAACTTGAACTCTATTTCCATTTTTTAATAATTCTATTTTTTAATTTTAACTCTCCTAAAATTGATTAATATAATATCTCTCTTTTTAATAATTTTTTCCTATATAACTTTTAATATGTAGTAGATATAATCTCCCTAGGCTTTTTGATTGGCTAATATTGAAATTTTACTTGGTGGTTTTATTTATATATCATTTTAATTGAAATGGATATATAAAATGATAAAAAATTAAAGTATTGTATTAAGACATGGAGTACATAATTTGCATATGTTTATTATTCATTTAATTTAACATACAATTTTGGCATACTACAGTCTTACTAATGGTATACTAATAGTTACATTGAGTTTATATGCTATCTGTCATTATGCTTTATATGTTGTGAAATGTACATAATAGTAAGAAAGGTTAGTTAAAAATGATTGACTGGTTCAGATTAGCTGGAGATATGTTACCCTATACAGGAGGATGTGCCAATAGGCTTTTTTTTTAAAAAAATATGGTTTATGGTATAATCCTAAGTGATATGAAATGGTGGGAAGTGATGACTTCTTACATGAAAGAACCTAACATGGGATTTGTGTTATGAGGATTATTCCTAGAAACATGACTAATATGATTGAGACTGATTCATGTAGGTTTGGCCTACATGATTGGATATAAGAAAAACATCACAGGTAGCTAAATATAATTTCTTACTTACATTGCTTTTCTATACATATGATAAGAGCATTTATGATAAATTTCATAAATATAAGACATGACATGATATATACATGATACAAGACATGACTGATACAAGCATATGAGAAGATCGATAAGATTGATGCAAAGGCATATAATATATATATGAATCACATGCTATGAATTTTTTTATTTAACTGATACACTAATATATAATACATATGAATTATTTGATATACATATAATACACTACATTGCCATTGGATATGCTGCATTAAATATGAAATAAGAGATATATGAATAAAAATTATATTGTAGGAATATGAAAAATGGATATAGATAAATGCTTATTAAATGGTAGGTATACTGATATCATAAAATGATATATAAACTATTTATAATGAATGGATATATGAATGATAAAACCTTTTTATCATTTACATGGCTATAAATCTCTAGCTATAAATCTCTACTCATAAGATATACAATTGCACTAATTTTTATTGCTCATATGGCATAATATTATTCATATTAATTCCTAAATGACCTTATTATTATATGTTTACAATACTTAGGATTGAATGATTACATGCAAATTTCTTCCATTATCTTGTGTTGATTTTAGTAGTAGGTTCTCATAACCTACTGAGTATTAGTTCACTCCATATTTTTATATATTTTTAGGAAGGGGTTAAGATCTAGTGGAGTGAGGTAGATTAGGATTCATGTTTTATCTTATATATATATATATCTTTTATAGAAGGAGTTTGGAAAGATAGATATAATGATGTATTGATTGATTTCCTAGCTATTGTTCATGAATTTTAAGAAATGAATAAAATTATAAATTGAAGAAAATAAGTTAAAAAATCTCTTATGCTAATTTCTATTTATTGAAATGAGATTAGTAACTTTGGAAAATTAAATAAATAATTTTTTTTTTAATTTTAATCTTAGGGTTTTACATAAGGTTCCCTTGATCTATTATTCAAAGAACTAAGTAACTTCCCTAATTATTTTTTTATATTTCTAACTATAATAACTTAACTTTACAACTGAGTACCCATTTGCAAAACTAAACCTTCTAATGAAGGTTTTTAACTTAGTTTGATTATTTATGTTAAATGCAAGGAGATAATTATGCCTTGGGATCAGATAATTTTGAGGATAAGGTAGCTTCTAGCTTCCTACTTAATTTGGTTGGTTGGAGTTTCAATTATTACTCCTATTTTAATTATTACTCTAGTTAAAGTTAGTGGTGATTTTTCTAACTAGGGTTATAAATATTTGGGTAAGGATTATTAGTTCGATTTGTGATTTCATTTAGGGATTCAATTCTTGTTACATTTGGGTCTCTGGAGGATCCACGAACACTATCATCTACTAGTAGAGGTGTACTATGAGATGAATTCACTCAAATATTATCTAGCTTGTTAAATATTACAGCTACTTGAACATTTAAAATTGATAGGGAATCCAATTCATACATACTTACTACCTTCCTATGGTTAACTCTTTCAAATGACTATTGAAAATTATTGGTGGCCATTTCTTCAATTAGAGCATAGGTTTCATTAAAGGGTTTAGACATCAATGATCTACTAGTAGCCGCATCTATAATGGATCTAAGAGAACCTATCAGACATTATAGAATGTATGAATACTAAGCCAATTGGGTAATGCATGGTGGGGACAATTCTTAAGAATTTTTTGAATCTTTCCCAAGCATCATAAACTGATTAACTATCTTACGTGCTAAATAGGTGATATAATTTATAAGTTTTACTATCTTAGATGTGAAAAAGTATGTTGCTAAAAATTTATGAGTTAAGTCATTCCAACTTATGACTTAACCTAGGGGTAATGAGTTTAACCATATCTTAGCTTTATCTCTTAATGAGAATGGAAATAACCTTTGTCTAACAACATACTTGGATATACTATTTTATTTAAATATAGTAGATATTTTTAAGAAATTAGTTAAATGTAGGTTAGGATCTTCTATAGGGGCTTCCCCAAACTTAGAATTGTCTATCATCTCAATTATTTCTGCTACGAGTTTAAAATTGTTAGCTTAAATATTTGGTCTATTGATGCTTTAGTGAATGGCTTCAACCATAAGATTGACATATTTCCTAAGAAGTCTAGATTAGTCTTTTTGTTGAACTTCTTCAGCCATTTTTAAAGCTTTTTGTAAATTTTTAGATTTTTTTTTTAATTTCTTTCAATTTAAATGTCAAACACAATTTTTACTCATTATTTTTTATGACGTGTGGAACAGTGAAAAACACTAAATGAAAATGCAATGCATGACATAGTTAAATAATTAATATTATAAATATACTAAAATTTTACCAAAATAGGATAATTGTGGCAATACAGAGTAGGTAAAATAAAAATAATGATTAGATTAAGTTAATAGTTCATTTAGCAGTATAAAGTGTAAGAAAAGATAATTAACTTCACCCCCTAATAATGGTGTGAAAAACTTGATAGGCTATTTATTTATGGTTGCACACTCTACTTATCTTTTTAAAAATGCTTTTGCTATATTGTGATGTAACTTCTATTATTTGAAAGTACACGCTTCATGTCAAGTAATAAAGTTATGAGAAGAGTATCATTCTCATGATGATTGGTATTAACCTAACATCATTCTAGCATTACCTATAAGAATAATTATAGATATGATATCTAAAAAAACACATGATTGTAATATGTAAATAATTCATAAAGTTGTTTTAAATCAGAGCATAAGTACTCCTCATCTATGTCAACCTTGTTGGAGCATTAGCTAAGATTCTTCCCAGCTATAGATTTAATATATTCTTAATATCCCATTACCCTAATTATCATATGTCTATGCAGAGAAAACTTATGGTTTAAATCGCCTATTTATTTTTCTACTCTTCCATCAATGTTATAGATCACACTATATTTTAAATTTATGAAAAGCATCTACACAAACTAAATGAAGCACGAAAGATTTAAAAATAACTTTTAGTAATTTATTTAATCATACATCTACTAAATGTAACACATCATTTCTAAAGTATCATAAGCTAAGAGAAAAGGCTTTAGCCAATCATAGAGGATAAATTAAATGCAATACATAACTTCATTGCACTAAAAGAAATGCTAGTAGAAGGTAAGAAATAGGATGCAAATGACCATAAAATCCCAGTTACAAACTACTTGCACTCCTTCCTTCTCTCCACACTAGTACAAGACTAACACAATAGGTTTAAAGGGCCAACATCCACCCAAAAGCTGCCTTACACGCACACTCCCTCATGTGTCTCCCTCTTCCCAATCCCTTTACATGTATAAGTTTCCTATTTATAGAAATCTAATTTAACTGAAGTAGTGTCATGGCAATGACAATGTAGAATTGTGGTGATGTTAAACTAATGCATCACTTCACCACTCATTGCATCAGTCCACCACTCATCACATTGGTTCACCAGTTTTAAATCTCCAATTATCTTCCATAGAAACCCTGGAGCGATTTGGCATTACAAAACTTGATCTGGCACTACGCTTCTCCCTAGGCAATGCCTCGGTGCTATGCTCTCAACTGAAATTTTTGACTTCTACCACTATGACGAGGGTACTATTGTGCTATAGTACTAAGGAATATTATAGCACTACGGTGCTTGATTTGTGGCATTGTGGTGCTTCTTCAATTTTGATGATTTTGAATTATTTTTTGAATAAAAAGATAGTAATTAAGACCATTTAAATAAAAAAGGTTGTAATTTAGAATATATAATTATCTCTTATCATCAGCAGACCTTTCCATTTGAATAGAGAACCTATTGGAATGCATCACATGTAAAGCACTGTACAATTAACAACTAAAATTAATTAAATCCATATGTAGATTTAATTAAATCAAATAATGATTTAAAATGTTAAATATTCATAAAAAGTTCATTTTTTATTTAAATTGAGCATGCTTGGCTCTGTGGATTCAATATTGCATTTAGAATTTTTTAAAAAATTTTTAAGGGCCGATAAACTAATCCATTATAGTAAATTAATTATTCATTATGAAGGTTTAATTAAAAACTTGTCATGCTTAATCATCTCTGATGGGCATCAAATTAGATCTTTGGGTTGTATACATTCTTGATTTTTTTGAAGAACATTTGAAGTTTCTTCTAACCTCTATTGAATTTCAAAACTATAGGTCATTATTTGACCTTTTATTTTTAAAATTTTAAAATTATGGATCCATAAGCCATTTTGATTTATAATTTTTTTTAAAATGTGAGTGTTGGTGCTAGGGTTAGAAGAAAATTGATTTGAGTCCCTATTGTCCTAGATCCCTTCTTTATAAAATGTTTAAACCTTATGTCCAAAAAGCTTAAAATAATAATAGAAACTTCCCCTAGCTCTAAAGAACAAAAAAATTTTATAAGATGATCTAAGGGTCATTATTGTCCTTTGAGTATATTATTGTAAAGGTTTGAATTCAATTAGGTATAAGGTCAACAAATCCTAAAATTTAAGCCACATATGTTAACAAATTTGCATTGCAAATTTACTAATAATTTTAGAAAAATATTAAAAACCAAAATAAAATTAGTGGAACCTAAATACATTAACAAACTTCAAAAATTTTTTTAAAACCTCTATTACTCACAAAATAACCCTTGTAACAATTCATGATTTAGAAATGAATAATAAAATAAATAAATAATTAAAAATAAAATACATATCCAAAGGATTTCAAGTTTTTTTTAGAGATGACACTTTAGGTTAGTGGTGATATAAGGTCCAAACTTCATGAAATATGGAATTCATTTGGTAGGTCAAATCATTAACCATAATTTAGCTGTTAAGTGAAACCCTTTAAAAAAAATTAAATGCCATAACCAAAGCCATTCTAACGTCTATCTTCTCTCTCCTCTATTGCACTACTCTTATGGTGGTCGTGATTTTTAATGTTGATTTTGTTTGATTATGGATTATTTGTATTTTTAACCTAAGAATTTGATTTGATTTTTCTTTTCTTCATTTATTAAGGTTGTCTGACCTTTGGTTTTCTAATTTTTTGCTAAATGGCATTCGATCCATCCTTTTCATTGCCAAATCCTTGGGGTAATGCTCTTCCTATTTCGGTGGACCCTAAAAATGGTTTCTTTGATAGCAATGGTATCATTTCTTCACCTAAAACTCATTCTTTCTGTGATGTTCTTTCAGGTGCTTCTTCCTTTAAAGAACCTGTGATTTCTTTTATGAAAACCTCTGTTAATGGATTTCTGACGTTACTTATGTATGATGATGATATTTTGAAATCAGCTTCTCCTTATCAATTTACTTTAGTTGGGAAGTTTTCCATCCATAGACCAAATCTTGATACCATTAAAAGTTTTTTCGAGAACTTGAAGTTATCAGGAGTTTTTTTAATTGGACTTCTTGATGATAGACACATTGATATTTAGCTTTCTAACAATCTTGATTATATCCAAGTTTTGCAAGGAGGTCACATTTAATTAGTAACTATAAAATGGACTTCATATTTTTATAGTAGGGAAGAATCTCCTATAGTTCCTATTTGGATTTCATTCCCAAACTTGCATCTACATTTTTTTAATTCCCATGTTCTTCATGCTTTGAGTTTAATTTTTAGTAGATTCAATCTGATCAAGCCACAGCTTCTCACTGAAGGTTGTTCATGGCTAGAATTGTTGTGGACTTGGATATTACTACGAAACACCTAAAAGACATTTGGACTGGTTTGAAAAAGTCTAGTTATTTACAAAAAGTCAAGTTTGAGAATATTCCTGATTTATGTAATAAATGAAAAGTCCATGGTCATTCCTTTAGTGAATGTTTTGTGACCAATACTCATCTCAAAAATTAGAGAAAGGATTCCATTGTTATGGCTATGCCAAATATTAGTGATCTTTTGAAGGAAGGAGTTCATATTGCTATAGACTCAAAAGTTTTGGTTACTTAGGAACCTCTGCCTAGTAGGGATGACATAAAAATTAATCCTTTTAAAAAATCCGTAAAGATTTTATACATTCATGATGAACTTAGAGTTCCTTCAAAAGAGAGTTATTTAGTTGAACTGATTTTTCCTTTAGTGGGGGGATAGTGAAGATGACAATACTCTTGTTGTAATGAGTTCTCATGTAGATCTAGATAAGAAAGGTTTAAATAATTAAGGTGAAGGTTTTTCCTCATAGATTACTAATGATATGCCTATAAGTCTTGTCATCCTTAAGACCAATGTGTGGTTAACCATACAAATGAGGAGGTAGCCAAAATCAATAGAGAACAAGTTGAGAAAAATGAATCTATTAATGTACCTGATACTTTGGAAGAGGGAGAAATTGTTTCAAATGCCATAAATACTCCTTGGATTATCAAGAAGGAAATAATGGTGGCTCTATGTCATCTCCTAGTGGGAATTTATAGAATATTGAAAATTTTTTCTGAAAGGTTCTAAAAAGAAAAACAAAGCTTCTAAGAATTTGATTGGTAGAACTTCAAGGATTACCTTGGCATTAAACTTATATTCTTCTTCTAATGGTTAAAGTTCTTATTTAGAACATTAGGGGAGTTGGGAGTTCTCTGTCTATGAATAGAGAGAGGAATCTATATATAATTCATAATATTAATTGCTTATTTTATTAGAGCCTTTAATATATTCTTCTAAACTTTTTTCTATTCATGCTAAACTTGGGAGTTGGTTTTTGTTAATCGCACCAACAAAATTTGGATTTTTTTGGAAGCATTGTATTAGTTTAGATATTAGTGCTAATTTGC